TACAGTGTTTAGCTTTCGAATTAATCGACTCTGATGTATTGTTGAAAATTATAAGTATGTCATTCATTATTTTAACAAACAATATAGACAAACAGAATGCATTGAAAAATAATTAAACAATGTTCATCCAAGCTTGAACAGAATCATCAAACATGTAAACGAATCAATGTGCCCACTTTTTTAAAGTTTTATGAATATTAATAATCTTCAGTCTACAATACACTGATTATTATTTATTAATACAAATATCACTTTTCATTTTTCCACTTCAAGTTTATTTTTATTTTTCTTTCCGACGCTAGGGTAGTTTTAGTATATAGAAATGTAGTAAATATCTATAGGGATATCCATGATGTTTTTCTAGTTTGCTCGTTAATAGTTTATGGCGGAACAAAGTAAAATGCTAGATTTAACCTGATTTCTTTTTAACTTCATTTCTTTACCAGTAATGCGAAAATGGAGAATTCTACAGCATGACTTTACAAAAAGAAAATATTCCTCATTAGAAAATAAGCTGACAGCATTCACTTCATTACGCCAAGTATAACATTTTTCTATAATTAATTTGATTTAAAAACAATTCGGCTCGCTACAATAGATTCCGAAGAGAAACAACACCATTTAATATGTAATCATATAACATATCTCGTGCATGAAATAGTTTAAACAGACAAGAAAAATGCATTATCTGCATAAGCCATTTCAATTTTAGTTAATGACAAATATCGCCCACTGACAGCTGATATTTTTTAGCTACTCTTTACACAGATCGTACGTACATTGTAATATCGGCTTGTTTACTCAGCTCACATTATAAACAAACGTTAGAAATCCACTCTCAGAACTAATCAGCTTACGATATCATACCTATAACATTTCCTGTTTAAGCATTCCTGACACACTGATCGAATATAAATATATATATATAAGCTGTAGTTTAAGCTACGGTAAAGATTGTGCTATAATATGAACCAATAAAGTGATTTTTTTTTTAATTTATAAACTGAGGTAGTTCTCATAAGATATACAAAGAAAATCGGCATCTTATCCGCGATTACATACGAGCACTTTTACAGCCAGAAAGATCACAGACCACTGTAATCCCTAAAGGAAATCTAATAGTTGTAATCCGCTGTTGTAGTTTCATCAGGCGTGTAGCTCTATAAGTTTTACTGCTTTAATAAGAATATAAATGACTTAACGCTTCAGACAGTTTATAAATAGCATATTTTTATTTGAGGAACAGAAGTAGACTTTTTGTCAGAGTCTTAAATGTTATTGAATTATTTACTGAAGAGTAAGCAGCATATTTCAAATCTATATCATTGCCAAAAAGACTTTTATACTTTAACATAGAGGTACATCATATGATTTTACGAAACATAAAGAAGTAATAAAGATCAACACTCTCTAACATTGAATGCTCTCTTTACCAGAATAAATCGTCTGCATGTCAGAACGATGTTAATAAGAAAATATTCACTTAAAAGTTTAAAAAGAATTGGCCAGATTTGGTGCCACATAATAACAACACGTATATTCTTTCTCAAGCCTTACATTCCTATATTCGTTAGATAGTTATGCATTTAGTTTATTTATAGTTTTTTTTTTTTGCCTTAGCTATCTTATTCAAACATATCTTCTTACCATGCACTACAAATTATAGATTCATTACGAATGTTTACATTTGTATTCTTGCTAACATTATGAAAGAACCATAATATATTTTTTCTGGTGAGAGATAACCAAAATTGATCGTATCGAATCAATCAACATTAAATTCAAATGGAAATGCCCTTGTTTAGTTTCTTAAACTAAAAATGTTTCCAGTTTGAAGCATTCTTTCTCTTACAAAGTTAATATTGCCGCGAAATAAATCCGTTGAGTTAAGGACATTGAATTCAGGTTTGTTATTAAATTGGCAAAAATGAATCATAAGATCAATGTATATGTAACATATAAGTAATCATATAGAATTTAATATTAACAAATCATGCTACATTTTAAGGCAACACACAAACTATCTTCAGGTATATATGATCTATTGAGCACATCCCGTACATTTCGAAAGGGAACATGCTTTCATTGTTCAAAAGCAACACGAAGTTTATGTGAGAAGAAAATGAATAATGCTGACTACTGTCAAAAATAAAAACAAGCTATTATCAACTGATGTTAAGCAGAAGTTTTATCCTTATTAAAATGTTATAGCCATTGTCATTGTGTTAATATAGATAGCTTGTTCTCGTAACTTTTTTCTCTGTTGTGCATATGTGTTGCTTTTTTTTTAAATGAGTGACGTCATCTATTTCCAAAGCCCTCATCTTTTAATTTGAAATATTCTTGGCGACAAGTAGCATCCGGTTTTGTTTTTATTTTGAAACCCCAGCTCTAGGTGCATCTGTTTTTAAACAATTAGAAAAAAAAAGGTCGTGAAGCGTGCAGACTCAGCAAGCTGCTAGACGTAACTGTAACGCCGACTTGGAGAAACTCCCAAACTTCAATAGAGCCTTTACACCAGTCATTGTCTCTGAATAAAAACCGATCTATTCTTCCAAGTAGCAATGAAAGAAGGGAGCTACTAAAGACAGAAAATAAAAGAACAACAGCAACAAGAACAGCTAAAAACGAACTTACAGTGTGAAAATATAAAATATGATTTGAACACATCTTGCATGAAAGGTGATGGAAACACATTAATAAAGAAAAGTACAGAAATTGTATCAGAAAAAAAATAAAAAACTTAAAAAAGAAAGAACAATAAGAATGTTGATTATACAAAATATCTAAAAGAGAATAAGGGAAGTGCAAGAAGAAACTTTAAACTATCACTTGTACGTTTGTATAACAATTTAGCTTATAGCTTAATGTGTGGCAGACGCTTTGACCTTGGATCGTGAAGGGATTTGCTGAATTTAGAACAAACAAGAAGGGGGAACAGGAACGTCATAGTATAATGTTTACTACGTTAATGGAGATAGGGAATTAACACGTTAGCCATTTCAACTCCGATAAACCATCACGTCTTTTATGTTTATATAGGACTGGCCTTCAAAGAAAAATACAAGTAAAAATTTGTAATGAAATTTACAAAACCAAATTTTGCGCATAACCTATTTCATTATTATAACACTATTCTGCTTATCTTACAAAGCAGAATGATTTTATACCCTCAGATTTTCAAGATTTTTGTAAAGAATTGTGGATTGACATAATAGTATTATATATTTAACTGTACAATCGTAATAAGAATATATGTGGCTGATAAGAAATTTCAGATTAGTGGCTGATCTTGATATACAATGTATAAGAGGATAATATAGATTATTATGCTTAAAACAATTGTTGATAAAAACTAATACACAATATAAGAGTGGTGCATTACTCTTTAAAGTATTTAAATATTTTAAACGTTTAGCTAAATTTGAACGTATACTGGTGTTTAGACGTGATAAATAATGCATGGCTGGATACTTACATATATTAATTAATTAAAAGTAATTAGTATCAAATGTACGAACTAAGCCTTATAACTAATATACTTGAGTATGTCTGGGATAAGAAAGCTTTAATATTTGATAAAGGTTAGACATTAATTTGTGCTATGAAAGTTTTAGAAGGATAATTTATTATACCAAATAGAACAGAAATTGTTTCTTCTTACTATCAAATTTAGGTTTAATAAAACAAAAAAGCGATTACAATGGGTGCATGTAATCCGTATGCTGTTATATCAGTATATTTTTTATTCTTTACACCATAGAATAAGGTATTGGTCATAGGAGATGGGTGCTCAGACGAACTGCACATAAAAACGCGGGGGTAAGACACTCAACGAAACTTACGTTAACGGATTACTCCCAGGGGTACTCTACTCTTCGTTGACGTTTGATTTATGAGTTCTGGAATTTGTTTTCTTTAGTGTTATTTCTTCAACAATATCACTGGCGGCACTTCTTGGTTATGTTTGTACGAAGGGGACGAAAGTGGGGGTAGAATAGCAACTAAACAGGAAAGCATCAGAAAATACGAACGTCATTGTTACGTCATTGTGATCGATGATGCAACTCATGGCGATGCTTTAGCTGGGTATAGACAATTTATCACCACTATTCTCACAGATAATCATATACAGAACACAGTGTACTTTCTTATACGAAAGAAAAATCACTTTCAATTGGAACTCATAATCACAGAATAAAAATATTACCTGGAAAAACCAAATATAAGAAATCTACAGAACTACTTATAAACAAGTATTTGATTATATGAGGCAGATAATGAGATAATCGTTCATCAAACTTCGTTACGAACAGCTATTATAGCTTAACTGACAGGTGTTTTTTTATATAAAAGTTTGACGGATCTATGATGAAAGAGTTGTTTTTCATGTTTATTTGAACAGTGTTAATTGCAACCTGGCATTATGCCTGCCTTGCCGTAAAAGTTGACATTGCCGTATCACTGTATTACGAATATGCTTTGCAGGTAAGGTAGATCTAAAGGGGAATTATAGTTTGTTAATTGCCAATTTTTTTATGCTATTGTTGCTAAAAGATATTACTTGTATCTTTACACGTATATTCCAATTCATAATAAAAGTTACTTTCACAGGTTATATGTATTACAAATTCAAGAACATATGTTCTAGATACATACTTTAGTTTCATATCTGCTTGAATATTATTCATATAATTATCGTACCAGTGAGGTTTTTTAAACGAAAAATAAACCAGTTAAGGTGTTCTATAGAATTCAAAAAGCTTAGAATAAAATATAATGCAAATACAGTATTCTAGTTGTGAAAATATTATGCGTCTTTAATTGTTTTTGCTCATCAGGCAACGGGGTTTTGGTGATATATATTTTCTGTTAAATAATGATTTGAAGTATAAACCCAACAATAAATAGAAAAAGATGCAAATACAACGTCACTCATGGTTATTTAAAAAAAAAAAGATATCGAACGCATTGCTAAAGCCTACATAGCGCCAGCTCACCTTGGATAATAAGAACTGCCACAATAGCTCCTCGCTGCATCAGATCCATATTAGTTTAGTGTTTATAGTATGTCAGTTTTACACTCCAATGCTCTAGTTCCGGCTTGACATACAGGGAAGGAACACTAGTGTAACTGCACAAGTCAAAGTCTGGGAGCACACACGAGCGCTTTGACATGTTTAACTGGCGTTTCCTTCTACGAGGAGTGAAAAACACACATAAAGCTATGAGACCACGTGAGTGTGTAGTCTCGCTCCCAACACGCCTGCGCCATACACACAGGTTTCTGCTAACTCAATCAGTGGGGTAGCTTGGGCCGCACCCGGGCAAACAATAAAGAGAAGTGAATCATATTAAAGGTGGAGATGTATGGTAACCTACAGAGAAGGGTTGCGCCTCTGGAAAATACATTAAATATATTAATGAATTATTTTTTCTTCTAAAACATTTTCTCCTTACAAACGTGCCAATTATCTGAATTTTACAATGCTCAATATGTAGTGTATATTACATAGTTTGCCTTTTGACGCTAGTATAACAGCACTCTCTGAAATGTTGAACATCAAACGCATAAGCAATATAAATGCAAACAAACAAACGACAGTTACTACAAGGATTTTACGTTCAAGTAAACGTATAGTAAGCCTAGACATGTTTTTCACCCTCATGTAAAAATTACTACTCATCCTATTCAACATCCACAAATATTTAGAACTGTCAACTTTTTTCTATTGCCTGATCTCTCTTTCTCACTATATCACCCTCTGGAAGCTTGTAAGTAAGTCCTTACGTGATTTTTTTCTGACAGTTTCACTTATCAGGGACAAAGCTTACTGTCAGACGCTAAGGTAACCAATGGTTGAAGTTAGTTTTATTATTTTTCTCCCAGTCTAGTGTTCTTTTGTTATAATATAATGTTCATAAATACATCCATCTAACTACTATTGTTATTTATTTTTTCCTTTCAACATTATTTTATTGACTGAAAAAAATCGCTGGGAAAACGTTTCTATTTTACATAGACTTAAAACACTATACGATAGTGTTAAGATAGTGTTAAGATAATATTGAACTATATGAAATATAACCAACAAGGGCCTAAAATGAGTTCATTAGATAATTAATAGCATAGCGTAACACTAGATATGAACTCTGCATTCATAACGCGATCAGCGTTATTTATAATTTCATGTGAAAAGTTTCAAAGCTTACGTTTTTAATTAATGTTTTGCATCATTTGTTTTTATCACTTGTTATGTATTCAAAACGTTTATCCAAGCACTTACTTATTTTTGCTGTTACACTTCTTTTGAAATTAGAATGTTGTACTTAACTGAGTTATTATGAAATTCATGGAATAGAATGCAAGTTGTTTCCTGGAAAATCACTTTGATTATCAACTTGACCAAGTTTCTATGAAATATTGTTCTAAGTTAAAAAAACTCACATTTAAAAAACAAAAACAACGATTATTTTATACACAATTCCATAACAATGAGATTGTTTCCAGTGTCCAAATTACTAAAATACAACAACTTACTACACAGGATAAAAAAGTGGTAAAAATCCTGATGAAACTAGAAAACAATCTCATACACTCTACATGTTTCAACGTATACTACTGCATCATCTTCAGGAGTGTAATCTTTTGCAAAAAATAACACTTATTTATACAATTATCGAAACACCAATTTACATATTAAAGAATTTCACGCCATCTGCTGACAACATTTCCATCAGGTCCATCATCCTCATTCAATAATTTAAATTTACTTCTTTTTTGAGATAATAATTTAATAATTGTTCCAAGTGTTCTATTCTAGTTTCTGCCTAACGTAAAAAAAAGTAGAAAAAAATTTGAAATTCTGTGTTATATCTTAAAGTATTTTCATTACAGCTTGTTCAAAGTATATTTTGGCTTCACAATACATAAATACACACACATATGTAAGACAATGTAAAATGAACAAAACATACACTATGTCGATTTATATGATACAATAAAAAAGTATCACAAATTAGCTTTATAATATTATAGCTCAAGGCAAGGTTAAAAGACAGTTTACGTGGTTCACAAACTTATGAAAACCCTATCCATATACGCACATGCGTTCGCATAGACTATACGCTTTGTGTTCTTCGCTTATTGCTGATAAACAGTGCGTACTTCGTAACAACCGCGTCTACATAGAGCAAGCACTTTACAAGGTTAAGGGTTATAATATACGTTTGGCAGCATTATGTTATTCTACTTCAGATCAAGTATTTATATAAGAAAACGACGACTTGTGTGGAATCTTATAATTCAATGGAGTTTCTACCAGTTATATAAATGCTTCTGCTTGTGTTGTTATATATTCTACATTATTCGAACTTATTACATATTACACAAAATGCACTTCACATCTGTTTAATGTAAGGTTCGAACGAGTGATTAAAAATTGAAAACCATGTTTAACACGTAAAACGGTATCAGCTGTGTTTAGGTGTATACCTCATAGAAATTAACCCCTTGTCCAGTAATAAATACCACAAACATGAGTTTCTATCCTATAATAACATTCCATACACTATATTCCTTTAAAACTTACTCAAATTATTCAAACAACTCAAAATAACTCATTTGTTTACAAAAATTTGCGCAATTGTTTACAAATTAAAATCATTTTGATATGCTACACACTTTTGGAAGGTATCATGTGGCTAGAAGATTAAATAATTTTCTTTGAAACCAAAACACATCTATTTTGTTCTCCTCACCAAAGTACAGATAAATGGTATATTAGTTTGATCGAGAATAGACATACAACTTAATAGGTAAGGATGAACGTATAAGTTAATATAGTAGGGCTTACAATCAATAAGGAATCTGTATCCTTGAAGGGAGCGTGAGCCATCTATCCACAGGGAAGAATGGTTGTTTGTACATCTGTGTTTACATATTTCATCCGTACTTTAGACAGTCCTGCATGATTGTACTCTCTTGATCCAACGGTTTGGAAAAAAATTCTTTTCTTTTCTGCAACAAATATTATATACCGAAATGTTTCATATTGCTACAGTTAATAATGTTTATGAAATTTGTTCAGATGGTTCAATTCTGGTGCGATAACGTACTACAAAATAACATTAGTGACTTCACTTAGTTTCATTTTTTCTCAAAAGTTATTTTTTACATTGACGATGAAAGGTTTTTCGTAAAAAAATGTAAACTTGTGAATATTCTATTGATCAAAACATGAGCTCTAACTAAACACTTTTAGAAAGGTGTATTGTACACTATCTATAGTTATTTGAAACAATACTTTAACAATAATTATTCATTAACCATTATTCAAGTAGAATGATTAGCTAACTGATGGAACATTTATTTGTAGCACTCCTGGCGGCAGAGTAAGGAATTTTATTTTTATGCTTTTTTTCAGGCGCGGCAATGATATAAAAGGTTTAAATTATTGCGTTACCTCAGCAGAAAACACTTTATACAATAGTACATTCATTTTAAAATATCTGATGTTATTGCTTCAGAGTAATTAATGAAAACCGTCATGTAATTATTTTATATTTACTAATATCTGTAAATCAAATTTAAAGCACAAGTAGAAACCTTGAAAAATATGGTAAATATATACAACTTAAAGTTTTACAATTCAGTCAGAGGACACAAAAATGTCCTGCATCGAGTAATTACTACAGCTTTTAGTGTAGGTTTTTAACTTGCATGATTAGTGTAAAATTAGCGAGCTCTCCTTCTTTTTAATTCACTTTTATAAGTTTCTGTTGCCAATCGAAGCAATCACCTTTATGCTTTCAGTCTAAGACTGAAAACTTAAAGACTGTACGCACGCTACATTTGAAAGATCCTTGCCGAACCAACTGTGAACTAGGGAATAAAGAAAAAAAAGTAAATGTAATCTTGATAAAACATGTCTAAAGTTTGACATAAGAAAATAAATTTTTATCTGGGTGTTTGCGTTTTATTTCAGCTTTCTGAATACATCAATTTTACAAGATGCTTTACTCAAAATAACTTAGAATTTTAAGTTGATTCGTTTTAGTACACAAATGGCAGGTGCAATCAACAAAACTGCACAAAAACACGAGCAAATAAATCTTGAAGTCGTGAAGAAATGTAAAACAAAACAGTAACTCATTGCTTATGCTGTGTCTAGTTTGCAGATTGACAGAGGAAATGTGTTTTGAAATTTAATTCTGTTCCTCGCTCACTGCGTTTCCTTTACTAGAATGGCATAAATTCGACATTTGATTCCGTCTAATACGTGTCCCAACATGTTCCAGAAGACTGCTAACCCTTCAGAGACGATAATGACTCGTCCTTTCCAGCGTTTTAGATTATGTTTATTGAGTTGCTAAAGAAAATAAGTACAACAAGATAAGATATCTCAAATCGTGTCATCAGTGTCAACAATCAGTCACATATCTGTAACTATTTGTGATAGCAAAATAAAATAGAAAATCTATATCATACTCTGCATTCTACGGGAAGAGCGAGAAACATTATTACAATTCTTGTATGGCAATTCAGAGTATTACAGAATAATTAGATTGTGAAACTACCTTATGAGCTTATGTTCTCTTTCAGAAAGATGGAAAGCTTGAGCGCTTATAATGTGAAAATTGTGGGTTCGATACCTGTGATATGAACAATACATATAGCCTATTGTTCAACTTTGGACATAGCAATAAAGCAAAAATGCTATATTAATAATTCAAGTCACAAAATTTTACATAATTTACTCACTTATACCAACGTTTAAACTCAGATGTTGTATTTCTAAACAGTCTATTGGCTAAATATATTTCTTCGTACTTACTATGCTGTTTGAGATCTCTATGAACGAAGTCTTTTGTGATTTGGAATTAAAAACTAAAATAAAGGAATAACTTTACGGAAAATTACAAAACTGACACTACTAATAGAGAGTTGAACATACTAATGATAAAATCTAAATAATCTTAGCATTGTTTTATGATTGAAATAGAGTAGGAATGTTAAAACACATTTTAATGATATAATAGAAATGGTGAAAGTTTATAAATTTTGATCAAAACGAAACAGGATGGGAAATAAAAGCAGCCTGTTAGCGTGCCTTCTATGAAATACAAAGTCTTGTTTTATATATATTTCAGAAGAAATTAAATGCTTTCATGAATTCCCGAGTAGTGT